CTAAAGTCCTAGAGTGTCCCATTCCCCTGAACTGCTGACTCATTCCCTCAAATTCTGTGGGTAAAATCGCAACTGGGCTCGGGTCCCTGACTTTGCATGCAACATGACTGGCTTTGAGTTTCAATAAGGAATCCCCTCAAACATGGTTGGTGGACATAAAATCCCCACCTAAAGGATGTCCACCAACCCAACAAGTGCCCTCGGAAAGCTGAAATTGGTGACCGATTCCAAAGGGCCTGAGGTTCTGCTTTCGCGACCTTCGGCAGGTCTTGTGTTTTCTTCGGCAGGGGTCCCTTTTCCCTGTTTGGTGGTTTCAACAGCCACCTCTTTGTTCTTAGTGATTTTTGTTTGGTCGCCATGTTTAATCTGGGACATAGAACGGCCTCATGAAAAGTGGGTGGGCCATTACCATGGGAAAATAAGGTTTGACCTTGAATTTGATCCGCTGTGCGCCATGTCGAAGGGCGTGCAACTACCGATGGTTGCGACATCCGGGAAGCACCACGAAATGAAACCATGATTGAAACCATTGAACTTAATTGTTTCTTATTCACAGGAGAGTGGAATCATTCCGTTGGGTTCCTGAAGGTGCGAAATGGATTTCGTCGATCCACATGGGCAGCGGTTTGGATCTCTCAGCCAGCAGCGAGGCGTGCAGCTGCTGTTTCAGCTGTCCTGCAGGTGAGCTCGAGCAACCTGAAGCTTCTTGAGAGCGTTTTTTTTGGTGTGTGTGTGTGTGTTTTTTGGAGGAGGGGACCGTTTTTTGCTTATAGTTTAAAGTGAAGCCAAAAGGAAACCAGCCTTTGTGGGGTCAATCCCACTACTTTGAGACACACTATAAATCATACGCAATGACGTCCACATGCCTCTCAGTTGAAGCGCGGTTCCCCTAAATTGGAATCACTGGGTTTGCGTGGGTCAAAACCCAGCCCCCCCCCCCTTCGAAAGCGCGAGTTTGATTTCCGTTCCTTTGGTGTCCTTTTTAGGCCAGTTGGTTTGAGAATCGAAGGCGCGGCTCTTGATTTGGCAAAACAGTGGCCGGGTGCCATCGGTTTTTGCCCCAAAAGGACATCAGTGCAGCCAATTCCAAGCGATTTCACCAGCCGATTGCTGGAATGGAGCTCCAAGTTCGGTCGGGGTCCTGTCCTTGGAGCACCAAGTTTTGCAAATATCAACCACGCGACGCTTTTTCTGCTGCCTTCGAGTGGCAGTCTCTTGAATTTTGGTGCGGCACCTGCCAGGCCCGGTGTGCATTTTGGGCCCCTCGCATGGTTGGTCTTTAGGGTGACCTTAGCAACTTAGAGCTTCTGAAGGCCAATGGCTTGTCCTTGTGGTTTGAGCTACAAAAGGTGAAGGACCATTTGCGCAGGGCGTGAGCAACCCGGGAAGTGTGCCGCTGACTGCTTTTCCCGATCCGAACCTTGGCCGGCGGGCTGTTTGCCCGACCAAGCGCATCGAACACGAGGAAAAAGGGGAGCGGCCCGGCGCGAGTGCTGTTGGGCCAACAGGTGCATGTGGGAGGATGGGAGGGGCTATGGGAGTCCCTTGAGTTGGACTTACGTTTGGGAAGACCATTTTAGCGTGGAACAAATTGGGACTTGTCTGGGCACGGAAGTGCACGGGCCAATTTGGATGCCGTTGACCGTTCTCATGGAGTGGGCATGAGTCCATTCTAAGGGTTCCAACAGGAGCCTCTTTCTGACGCTGATATCTGACAGAGTCATTGCAAGCATTGTTGCTTTGGTGTTTGCTTCGCAGAATCCGAGAACCCCCGCGCCACATCGAGTCTGCAAACAGATCGCTGTTCAATGGACCTGCCCGACTGCTTCCAAAGCGTGCGATCTCTTGGGCCGGACCATTGGGCCCACATGATCCCTTGATTAGGCCGGAGGAGACGCTTTGATCAAAGCAATATAGATCCCCTTTGAACATGGACCAAGCAATCGGGGGGTTGCACAAAAAAGGGTATCTGTGCTTTGATGCACATCCATTTGTTGTACAAGCTGGTCGCAGGACTACTTTGCCCTCAAGCGTGAGAAGAACAAGCCGCTCTCGCGGGAGTCCATCAAGGTGCGGAGGTTGTCTTGTGAATTGATTTGCATTTTCCATCTTGTGGCCTTAGGTCCACAGAAAAAGGGCGATCTATCCTTTGGTTGCTTCTGCCCGGCATGGAAAGCCGCAAGCCGCCCCAACACGTGCAATTTCCAGTTATTTGCAGAGGCAGCGGTGAATGGCCTTCACGATCAGAACCAAACAGGGCTTGCTCAGAGTGAGGCGACTTTGAGACGCCCAAGTTTTGGGAGGTCCCGTGTGGGCATGGTCGCTGGTGCTCAAAGCCTTGAAAGCCGGCTGAGATGTGCTGATGTGGGTGTCTCCAAATGTTTGTGAGCCCTTCATGTACCATGTAACATATTTGCAAACTGAAGTTGGGCAGTCCAACTGGGTGTGTTTTTTTTTTTTTTTTTTTTTGAGGACCTCCAAAGTGGTTGTTTTCCTGTTGGCATCCTTTAGACCCGCCAAAAAAGAGGGTATCCTCAAAACCTAGATACACTCAACTGGTACTCAACGGCAGACTCTCTCTCTCCGGCTTCTCGCGCCGGGCCGGAGAAACAAACAAAAAGCAAAAAACGCGGGGGCCCCGTTTTCTCTCGTCGGGGTCGAGCGCAGATCTTCTCGCGAGGCCTGCGCCCGAGCCATCATCCTGGTGGTGGCGGGCCTGCACGCCAAGGGCCTGGTGCACCTCGCACCTCGGCGAGTCGAGCGAGTCGCGAGTCGCGCGTCGCGAGTCGAAGAATGCTGACCCGGGATGAATAAACCCGTCCCATTACTAGGTAGGGGCTGTTCCCTCCAAAAGTGGTCTGAATCCCCACTACATGGGGAAACCCCCCCCATTAATCAACCAGGGGTTTATCAATCCGGGGTTAACATCAAGAAGCCCGCGATGGATGAGCGAGATTTTGATGAGGGTGCCCCTTTGGGGGTTTTTCACTTTGTGAGGGGGCCCCCCAGCCTAGTAAAAGTTGGACTCATTGATTTTGATTGGGGGGACCTTGAATCCCTTGTGAGCTGGCTATGTGGCCGCTACCTGCGCTTAATGATAGCTGTTGGCAAAGCTCACTGCAGCAAGGGACTTTCTACCCCCAGACGCGAAGTTTCCAGTGCTGGCAGTTTGCACGAGAGCAGATAGCCAGGGTTTCTTGCCTCTTGGCTTTCATGATGGTTCCCCGGGTTGCCTGTTTTAGCGGCAAGTGGAAGAGCCGCGGCTCGCATGAAGTTAGTTGGTCTATGATCCTTAAGGCCAGATGCCCGCACGCGCAAGGTCAACCTCGATGCACATGGCAACTGGGGTCTCCTTTGAATATAGTGTCCATCTTATCAGGCTGACCATTCTGTGAAACCGAGGAACCTGCGTGTTTCCCAAGTTTGGGGCTTGCAACTTGTGGCCGTGGTACAAACAAAGCCAACACAACAAAGAAGCAACCAACCAACCAACCAACCAACCAACCAACCAACCAACCAACCAACCAACCAACCAACCAACCAACCAACCAACCAACCAACCAACCAACCAACCAACCAACCAACCAACCAACCAACCAACCAACCAACCAACCAACCAACCAACCAACCAACCAACCAACCAACCAACCAACCAACCAACCAGATACACAAACAACTGCAACATAGCAATCAATCAGGCACACAAGGAAAGAAAGAACCAAACACACATGATACCAACCTTGACACCGAGCTCAAATCCCAAATTGATACCAAAATTACCAACATGGACACCTTAAACCAACCAATGGCCCCTTCAGCGATCCGATTCGGCTCGCGGCTCGCTTTCTCGCTCTCAGGACTTGAAGCCGGAGAACCTGATGATGTTCAACGGCCGCCTGAAGCTCATCGACGTGGACGGCTGCGTGCCCATCGAGAGCGAGGCGCGCGGATGTGAGATGCGGTTGCGGGGGGCGGGGTCCAACTCGATGAAATCCCTTTGGTCCAGAGGGAATCTCCGCACAAATCATCAAAGGGATGGCCGGAAGAGCATCGCACATCTGTGCGGTCGTGCTTGGACCAAGCCTTTCAGGGTGTTTCGAGCGGACCCGAGGGACCGAGCGGGGGGGGGGGGGGGTCACCAGGCCGTAGTTTACGTGATAGAATTCCCTGAGCCCCGTGTGCTTTCTCCGGGGCTCACTGGGCCGGGAATCGGACGCAGGTCTCCATCAACGATTCCTCCATCTCCTTTTCCCCATGCTATTGCGCTCCGGAGTGGGCGAGGCGGGGCGGTGGGGAGGTCAGCGGGCGGGCGTGCGGGCGGGCGGGCTGAGAAGTGATGCGGGCATCTGCTTCTTCATCAGACAATTGGGACGCACACCCCAAAGTGCTTAAAAAAGTGTTGGCCAATCCCAGTCCACAATCCCTATTGGAAAACCATTCCAAAGGGGACCTATTCCTTTCCTATAGAGGAAGGATTAAAGAGTGCGATTGAAGAGCCAAAGTGCCCTTGGCACAATCGGAAGATCGAAACGCAGCACATGTCCGTTTTTGAGGGTACCCCTTTTGGAATCATCCCATCTAAGCAACAAACAACCCAAGCCGACCCACAACTCATCAAAACCAGCATTCCGTTTTTCTGTTTCGTTTCGTCTTTACTGGGATTGTCGTTGTCATGGGATTGCTGTCTTCAACATTCCACAGGTGGCTTTAAACTCAGACATGTATATGAGTCATTATCTTGGAATCCAGCTGTCGCCCTCAACAAGGACCCTGATTAAGATTGAATGCACCACCCCCCTTGGCACCTATGCATCATTGGCCCCATTGAATGGGTCAGGACCTCTGGGAGGTGTTGGACCTAGGGGGCCAATTTTTGTGGGCCCCTTTGCGTCAGAATCATCTGAAGTCCACGTGAAACGAGCCTCTTCTGCCCTTTTGCAGGTTCTTGATCGACGAAGCGGAGAACAAGATCATCGCCAAGCCTCATTTGGACGTGCCACGGCTGACAAAGAAACTCAAGGGACATGGAAGATTCTTTTGGCGTGCCATGTTGACGGTTCCCAGCTTTTGGCGGGCTCGTTTCCCTTTGAAAACCACGAGGTAACTTTGAGGGTCTCGCTTCGGACCTTCAGCCAGGAATTTCGGAAAAGATATTCGTCGGCCTTGCAGGTTGACTAGGTCCCCCAGTAGTGGCCTCTTACCCTTTTTTGACGGAGGGTTCCCCTACTGAAATAGTCTACAGAAAAAGGGTACCCTTATTCTAACCTCTCTACTGCAGGACCTGGTTGAGACTCTACGCGCCTTGTGGCCTGCTTATTCGACCCAAGAGGTCGGTAGGCTTAGGGAGCAAGCGAATCTGAGGTCTGGAGCATTGGCGTGACCCTCTGCGAGCTGGTCACGCCGCTCCGACAGAAGATGCATGCCCAAGGGTCCCATAAGCTTTGCTTGGTCCCTCAATCCAAAGAAAAACAAGAGGAGTTAATTGCCGCCTGTAGTTTTTACTCGCTCGCTTCCAAAGCTGGACTTTTCTCTTCCAAAGCTGGACTTTGCTTACTTTGTGGGAAGACCAGTTTAGTGGTAAGCGAAGACTTCTTTTCGTTTAATGCTCTCAGGAGCTTTTTGTTTAAACAAAATAATATTATTATTAATCTTGCAGTTGGGGGTTGCCCAAAGTATACATGTTTGCCCATTTAAGCATCATATTTAGTAATAGTTTTTCAGGATCCTTGCGGAGCAGTTTAATTGGGAATGTAGCTTTTATGGAACCCTGCTTTGTGTCCTATAGGTTTCTCTCGATCGCCTCGTAGTTTCCTTTTGGGAAACCCAGAAATGGTAAGCAACATTCGGGGGCCTCCAAAACCAGTGAATTCTCGTGACCTTCGAATTTTGTTGGTGGATTGTATGAGGTCCACCAAAGATTTCCCAATCAATATTGATACCACAGGTGGGAAGTGGATCCCCCGGCTGCCTATTTTTTGTGACACCTGGCCAGCCCTTTAACTTTCCCCCATGGTCCCCATGTTTAGCCAACCAGCGCCGAAATTTTGGTCGCAAGGCTTGATGCCATCCTGAAGCCCATGTATGGCAACTTCCTGCGCAACGGCCACTCCCACCGCGAAGCAGGCGGGAACTTCTTTTTTGCGGCTGCGGCTGGCTCCGAAGCTCAAAAACGGGTGTGGCTGAGAGAACGGGGACCCCAAACATGTGGTTTTCCTTTAGTTTCCCTTTGGACCCAACCAGAAAAGGGTAGACGCAAAAAGAGGCAACCAACATGACCAAACCATGTTTGGGCAGATGGTAGTCAGGTGGTAAGTCCTTCTCGTGGGATTTTGAGGCACTTCAACCGCTGAAGGGCCCAAAAGCACTCCGCCGATCATTGGGCCCTCTCTGAAAATCGAACAGCTCCTTTCATGGGAGCAGCGCCGCCGATTTTTTCGATGTCAGGGGGTTTCCGCTCTGGAAACCTCAGGGAGCCGCTCCCATGGCGGTTTTGCCATGGTTTTCCCACTCAAACTGGCGCAAAGGTTTGAGACGAACGCGGATCTTGGCCGCAAAAGACCAGAGGACCAGCCCAATTGGTCCACGCCCATGCGGGGTGCAGGTTTCCTCTTCATGGACTGGCTGGGGCACATCACTCGGGCGCCGGTGCCCAAGAGCATCGAGCGCTTCGACAAGGACTTCCACAAGCTCATCGCACCTCAGACCCGACGAGAAGATTTCCCGAAAATTTGCGGACCGACAAGTTGTTGCCCGTACTTGGGTGGGTGGGTGGGTGTGGGTGGGTGGGTGTGGGTGGGTGGGTGGCTGGGTGGCTGGGTGGCTGGGTGGCTGGGTGGCTGGGTGGCTGGGTGGCTGGGTGGCTGGGTGGCTGGGTGGCTGGGTGGCTGGGTGGCTGGGTGGCTGGGTGGCTGGGTTCAGGAGTGGTAGCTTCGACCAGAGCCTGTTGCCAAGCATTTGCAAGGCACGGAAACAGCCTCTTGTGAGGCCATCATGGAAGGTCCGTTCAAAACCTGAAGTCGTCTCCAGTCCGCTTGAACCATTTGTGACGCTGGGTCAAGCACGACACCCCCAAATGGGGACTAATAAGCCATCCTACCATCAGATAGAAATCAGGGGGGCTGCCACACACACACACACACACAAACGTGAAGGATTCGGGGGTTCTTGATCCGAGGATAGCATTACCTGGAGTCTCCATGACCCTGAAAAAATGGGGTCATTGCCCAAATGCAGGGGTCACGGACCCATTTTTAAAAGTTTTCATGGAGACTCCAGGTGGGCTCCAAGTATTCAATTCAGCGCCTCCCATGCAACAGACCCTGGTGCATCCGAGGTGGATGGGCTCCTAGTCACCGATCACACCAAGAGGAGCGGACAAGAACTGGGCGTGGAGATCTGAAGCTTAAGGCCAATGCTTGAAGGGGAAAGCAGACCTTCAACGAGGACATACGTGTATATATATATATATAATATGTATATAATACACACATATTTGGTGAATTTTCCTCTTGGTGGGCAAGTTATGTTAGGGTGCGTTCCGGAACCAGGAACCCCACACCTTTTCATCCGACTTGATGGGCATGAACCCACAAATTCGCGCCGCAGTCTCATTGAGAAACTCTGTTCAAAGATGGTGATTACTTTGCTGCTCTTTTCGTTGACGTTAGACGTCGGCCATAGGTCCTTACCTTAGGCTACCAAAACCTGGAAAAAAAGCGGGTCAGAATCAATCCACCTGTGATTTTGCGGGACTCCTGCTTTTTTTTTCTGGTAGTAGCTCATGGTAGGTGCCTATTGAGGCCAAACATTGGCCCTTTCACCAGGCTCTCCCCCGGGCGTCGCAGCCCTCAGAGTTGCATAGGTGGTACTGAATTCAGCGGAGTTCGGTACCTGGACCCGAAAGGACTTCACCCATAATCTTGGGGCAGCAACCCATTTTGAAGGGTAGTTTGCCATGCGGGTCCGGGGGTATTCCTAGCACCTCTTCAGCAAATCCCTTGTGGGGCCTCTTGTTTTCGGGGCCTTTCAAAGAGCTGGAAGAAGCAGGAAGCATCAGGAAACAGCAGCAAAGAAACATGAAACAGCAGGAAACAAAGCAGCCCTTGAACGTAGAGCTCGCGCTTGCACGGGGGAGTGACAACGCAGGTGTTAGGGTAAGCTCCGCGAGCACACAGTTTTTATTGTACACGCTTCGTGCTGCCCGCCTCGGCCAGCATCAGCCAGTTTCGGCTTGCTTTGAAGGAACGGCATTTCGTTGTGGGCGCTCACTTCAAGGACGCTTGCAGGCGCTGTCGGCTCTCTTGGTGGGCTGTCTTGGTGGACGCTTGTGGGCGGAAGTCTTGCGGGCGATGTTCATGAGCGCTTGCGGACGCTTGTGGGCGCTCCTTCGTGGGGCTTGTGGTCGCATGTGGGCCACAAGGACGGAAGTCTTGCAAGCGTGCATCATGAGTGCTTGCGGGCGCTTGTGGGCAGCACTGTTGCCTCTGCGGGCGTTCCTCTTGGCGGGTGCTTCTAGGCGCATGTGGGCGCTCTTCTTCGGCGCTTTTGGGTGTGCGGCGCATATGAGCGCTTGCCCACGCTCTCTGCTGGGTGCGCTTGTGGGCGCATGTGGGCGGGTTTCATTGGGTGCTTGCGGGGTGGGGGGGGGGGTGGGCGGCACTGTTGCAGGCGCTCCCTTCATAATTGCTTGCGGGCACTTGTGGGCGCTCCTGGTGGGCGCTTGTGGGTGGTTGCGGGCGTTCTTCATGAGTGCTTGCGGGCGCTTGTGGGCGCTTGTGGGCGGCAGTGTTGCGCTGTTGCGGGCGCACCCAGCGGTCCATATGGGTGCTTACATTACTGGGGTTCAAACCTTCTTTTCATGGGGGTTGAACATGTTTACCTGACTCTGAGTGGACTGGCCAAAAAATGCAACCAAAGTTGTCGTTTACAACTAACATGATCGCATTCAACGACACCTTCTGGAAGCATTTCTGGCCCAACAGCTGAGAAAGGCTGCGCAACCCCATAGGCTTTGGCCGCAAGGTTGTTTTACTTCTGGACATCTAGCCGCGCATATCTAACCGTCAACCTATTCGGCTCGTCTTGTTGAGGGCCCGCAAGGAGATTGGGTGCTCCTTTTGCTTTCTGTCCCTGTCTGTCAAGTTCGGTCAGGTCTTGTGTCATTTGCCCAGAACCCAAGCTTCTTGGTGCCACTCGCCTGCCCAAACAACCTGCGCGTAACAGCCTTACCTTTTCAATGCCCAATAAGACGCCCGCCCACAAGCGCCCACAACGCTGCCCACAAGCCCAGCCACAGACCGGCGCCCACATGCTCACAAGCCCCCAAGACTGCCCACAAGCACAAGGAAGAGCGCCCGCAACGGCGCTCCCGGAAGACGCCCGCAACACCGACGCCCACAAGCCCAGGAAGATGCCCGCAACGCCCACAAGCGCCCGCAGGCCCAAACAGCACAAAGCTCTCCGCAAGTGCCCGCAAGGAAGAACAGCCGCATCAAAACCACGACGCCCAGAAAGATGCGCCCACAAGCCCAAGAACACCGCCCGCAACGAGCAGGAAGAAAGATACTTGCATGTGAGTATCTGGGAAGCTCAGTTTTAGACCCTTTGACCGGTTGATGGACAAAGGCGAAGTCTCACGTGTTGGGGTTTCACCATTTTAGTGGTTGGACATTTTGCTGAGCTTGTGTGGGCGTTGTTGTGGGCGTTCTTCCTTGCGCGGGCGTGGGTGGCGTTGCGGGCGTCGGTGGCGTTGCGGGCGCTCTGTTTGGGCCTGTGGGCGCTTGTGGGCGGTGTAGCGCGCTCTCTCTCTCTCTCTCTCTCTCTCTCTCTCTCTCTCTCTCTCTCTCTCTCTCTCTCTCTCTCTCTCTCTCTCTCTCTCTCTCGCTCTCTCTCTCTCGCGCTCTCGCTCTCGCGCTCTCGCGCTCTCTCTCTCTCTCTCTCTCTCTCTCTCTCTCTCTCTCTCTCTCTCTCTCTCTCTCTCTCTCTCTCTCTCTCTCTCTCTCTCTGTCTCTCTGTCTCTCTGTCTCTCTGTCTCTCTGTCTCTGTCTCTCTGTCTCTGTCTCTGTCTCTTTCTCTCTCTGTCTCTCTCTGTCTCTCTTTTGTGGGTGTTAGCGAGGCTTGTTTGTGGATGACCTCCAGCTACTTGTGTGAGTACCCAGGCGCACGTAAAAGTTCAGCAAGGGAGGGAAGGGAGGGAGGGAGAGAGAGAGAGAGAGAGAGAGGAGGGAGTGAGTGAGTGAGCGCGTGTTTTGAGCGCGTGTGTGTTTGTGAGAGTGTTTGTGCGTGAGTGAGTGAGTGAGTGAGTGAGTGAGTGAGTGAGTGAGTGAGTGAGTGAGTGAGTGAGTGAGTGAGTGACTGACTGACTGAGTGAGTGAGTGAGTGAGTGAGAGAGAGAGAGAGAGAGAGAGAGAAAGTGAGAGAGTGAGAGAGTGAGAGAGTGAGAGAGTGAGAGCGTGAGATCTAGAGAGTGAGAGAGTGCGTGAGCGCGTGGGTGCGTGAGTGCGTGAGAGAGCGAGTGGGCAAGTGAGCGAGTGAGCGAGTGAGCGAGTTAGCGCGTGCGTGCTTGTGAGTGTTTGTGAGTGATTGTGAGTGTTTGTGAGTGATTGTGAGTGTTTGTGTGAGTGTTTGTGAGTGTTTGTGTGAGTGTGTGTAAGTGTTTGTGAGTGATTGTGAGTGTTTGTGAGCGATTGTGAGTGTTTGTGAGCGTGTGTGAGTGTTTGTGAGTGCTTGTGAGTGTGTGTGTGTGTGTGTGTGTGTGTGCGTGTCTGTGAGTGTTTGTGAGTGTTTGTGTGCTTCTGAATGCTTGTGGTTGTGCGCTCTTGCTGGGATTGTGGGCGCTTTTGTTGGGCTTGTGGGCTGCGGCTTGGGCTTGTGGGCGCTTGCGGGCGCCCTTGCTGGACTTCCAAGTGCTTCTGCTGGGCTGTGGGCGCTTTTGCTGGGCTCAGCACGTGTGGGTGGGCGCTTTTGCTGGCCTGGGCTTGTGGGCGCTGGGTTTGTGGCGCCCACATGCGCCCACGTGCGCCCACATGCGCCCACATTCGCGTCAGCCCGTTTTTTTCTCCCGTTTTCGACACAAGTGCCCAAGTGCCCACAAGCGCCCGCACACAAGGCCATGCACTGTTGTGGGCTCCGCGCCCACAAAATCCCAAGCGCCTGCAAGCGCCCAAGTCTTACAAGCCCGGTAAAAGCGCCCACAAGCCCAGCAAAAGCGCCCACAAGCCCAGCAAAAACGCTTTTGCTGAGCCTGTATATAGGGGCTTGCTGGGCTTGTGCGCGCTTTTGCTGGGCTTGTAAGCGCTTTTGGCTAAGGGATTTTGCTAATGGGCGCTTGTGGGCGCTTTTGGTGGGCTTGTGGGCTCTCTTGGGCTTGTGGGCGCTTTTGCTGCGTTTGTGGGCGCTTTTGCTGGGCTTGTGGGCGCTTGTGCGCTCTTGCTGGTGGGCGGTTTTGCTGGGATTGCGGGCGTGTGTGGGCGGTTGTGGGTGGGCGCTCTTTCTGGGCTTGTGGGCGCTTTTGTGGCTTGTGGGCGCTTTTGCCGGCGCCTGATGCGCATGCGCCCACATGCGCCCACATGCGCCCACATGCGCCCACATGCGCCCACATGCGCCCACATGCGCCCATATGCACTCGCGTCAGCCCGTTTTGTCCCGCTCGTTCCCGTTTTTTCCCGCTCGTTACCGTTTTTTCCCGTTTTTCCCCGCTCAATCCCGTTTTTTCCCGCTCGATCCCGTTTTTCCTTCTTTTCCCACAATCACCCAGAAGTGCCCACCGTTGTGTTGTGGGCTCACTTGCTGTGAGCAGGCGGGCACCTGCAGGTGGCACCCTTTGCTGCACTGTTGCTGCACTTTTCGGTGGGCGTTTGTGTGGCTCTTGCTGGGCTTGTGGGCGCTTTTGCTGGGCTTAGGCTTGTGGGCGTTGGTTTGTGGGTGGGCTGGGGGGCTGGGCTTGGCGATCTTGTGGGCTTGTGGGCGCTTTTCCTGGCTTGTGGGTGCTTGTGGGCGCTTTTGCCGGGCTTGTGCTGGGCGCTTGTGGGCGCTTGCGATTTTGTGGGCGCTTGGGCTTTTGCTGGGCTTGTGGGCGCTTGTAAGCGCTTTTGCTATGTGGGCTTCTGAGCCTGTAGGGGCTTGCTGGGCTTGCGCGCGCTTTTGCTGGGCTTGTAGGCGCTTTTGGCGAAGCGCTTTTGCTTACGGGCGCTTGTGGGCGCTCTTGTTGGGCTTGTGGGCCTTTGCTGGGCTTGTGGGCGCTTGTGGCCGGCAAAAGCGCCCACAAGCCACAAAAGCGCCCACACGCCCAGAAAGAGCGCCCACCCACAACCGCCCACACACGCCCGCAATCCCAGCAAAACCGCCCACCAGCAAGAGCGCACAAGCGCCAACAAGCGCCAACAAGCGCCCACAAGCCAGCAAAAGCGCCCACAAGCCAGCCCCACAATCCCATCAACAGCGCCCGCAAAGCCCAGCAAGAGCAGCCCAGCAAAAGCGCCCACCCACAAATGCTGAGCCACAAGCCCAGCAAAAAGCACTTAGAAGCCCAGCAAGGGCGCCCACAAGCGCCCGCAAGTCCAAGCAACAGCGCCAACAAGCGCCCACAAGCCCAGCAAGCCCAGCAAGCCCAGCAAGAGCGCCCACCCACAACCGCCCACACTCCCAGCAAAACCGCGCCTGATGCGCCCACATGCGCCCACATGCGCCCACATGCGCCGATATGCACTCGCGTCAGCCCGTCTTGTCCCGCTCGTTCCCGTTTTTTCCCACTTGATCCCGTTTTTTCCCGCTCGATCCCGTTTTTCCATCTTTTCCCACAATCACCCAGAAGTGCCCACCGTTGTGTTGTGGGCCCACTTGCTGTGAGCAGGCGGGCACCTGCAGGTGGCACCCTTTGCTGCACTTTTCGGTGGGCGCTTGTGTGGCTTTTGCTGGGCTTGTGGGCGCTTTTGCTGGGCTTAGGCTTGTGGGCGTTGGTTTGTGGGTGGGCTGGGCTTGTGGGCGGCTGGGCTTGGCGATCTTGTGGGCTTTTGGGCGCTTTTCCTGGCTTGCGGGTGCTTGTGGGCGCTTTTGCCGGGCTTGTGCTGGGCGCTTGTGGGCGCTTGCGATTTTGTGGGCGCTTGGGCTTTTGCTGGGCTTGTGGGCGCTTGTAAGCGCTTTTGCTATGTGGGCTTTTGCTGCGCCTGTAGGGGCTTGCTGGGCTTGCGCGCGCTTTTGCTGGGCTTGTAGGCGCTTTTGGCGAAGCGCTTTTGCTTACGGGCGCTTGCGCTCTTGTTGGGCTTGTGGGCCTTTGCTGGGCTTGTGGGCGCTTGTGGGCTTTCTTGGGCTTGTGGGCGCTTTTGCTGGGCTTTCTGGTAGGCGGTGTTGCTGGGATTGTGGGCGTGTGCGGGCGGTTGTGGGTGGGCGCGGGCTTGCTGGGCTTGTGGGCACTTGTTGGCGCTGTTGCTTGGGCTTGCGGGCGCTTGTGGGCGCCCTTGCTGGGCTTCTAAGTGCTTTTTGCTGGGCTTGTGGCTCAGCACTTGTCAATGCGCGCTTTTGCTGGGCAGGCTTTTTGTGGGGCTGGCTTGTGGGCGCTTTTGCTGGCTTGTGGGCGCTTGTTGGCGCTTGTTGGCGCTTGTGTGCTCTTGGGCGCTTTTGCGTTGCTGGGCTTGTGGGCGCTTTTGGCTTGTTGGCACTTTTGCTGGGCTTGGCGCTCTTCTAGGCTTGTGGGTTTCTTGTGCTTGTGGGTGCTTGTGGGCGCTTTTGCTTGTGGGTTTGTGGCGCCCGCATGCGCCGACATGCGCCCACATGCACTTGCGTTGTCCCGCTCGTTTTTCCCGTTGTTTCTGCCGGGCCCTTTTTGGGTTGCAACCCACCATCACCCAGAAGTGCCCACAAGCGCCCACCCTTTAAGATGCACACAAGCCCACAGGCTCACTTCCTGTGAGCAGGCGGGCGCCTGCGGGTGGCAGATTGTGGGTGGGCTTTTGCTGGGCTTGTGCGCGCTTTTGCTGGGCTTACGGGCGCTTGGGCTTGCTGGGCTTGTGGGCATTAACGCTTGTGCTTTTGCTGGGCTTGTGGGCTGGGTTTGTGGGCGGCTGGGCTTGGCGCTCTTGTGGGCTTGTGGGCGCTTTTTCTGGGCTTGTGCGTGGGCTTGTGGGCGCTTGTAGGGTCTGGGCGCTCTTTGCCTCGTGGGCGCTTTTGCTGGGCTTGTAGGCGTTTGCTGGCTTGCGGCTTGCTGGGCTTGTGCGCGCTTTTGCTGGGCTTGTAGGGCTTGTGGGCGCAGTGGGCGCTTGTGCTGGGCTTGTGGGCGCTTGTCTTGGGCTTGTGGGCGCTTTTGCTGGGCTTGCGGGCGCTTTTGCTGGGCTTGGGCGCTTGTGCGCTCTTGCTGGTGGGCGCTTTTGCTGGGCTTGTGTGCGTGTGTGGGCGGCTGGCGCTGTTGCTTGGGCTTGGGCGCTTGTTGGCGCTTGCGGTCTTGGGGGGCTTGGGCGCTTTTGCTGGGCTTGTGGGCGTGTTGCTGGGCTTGGTTCTTGTGGGAGCTTTTGCTGTTTGGGCGCGCTTGTGGGCGCTTTTGGTGGGCTTGTGGGCTCTCTTGGGCTTGTGGGCGCTTTTGCTGGGCTTGCGGGCGCTTTTGCTGGGCTTGGGCGCTTGTGCGCTCTTGCTGGTGGGCGCTTTTGCTGGGCTTGTGTGCGTGTGTGGGCGGCTGGCGCTGTTGCTTGGGCTTGGGCGCTTGTTGGCGCTTGCGGTCTTGGGGGGCTTGGGCGCTTTTGCTGGGCTTGTGGGCGTGTTGCTGGGCTTGGTTCTTGTGGGAGCTTTTGCTGTTTGGGCGCTCTTGTGGGCGCTTTTGCTGGGCTTGTGGCAGTGGGTGTTTGTAGGCGCTTTTGCCGGGCTTGTGGGCGCTTGTGGGCTGGCTCTCTTGGGGTTGTGGGCGCTTTCGCTGGGCTTGTGGGCGCTTTTGCTGGGCTTGTGGGCGCTTGTACGCTTTCTTGGGGTTGTGGGCGCTTTCGCTGGGCTTGTGAGCGCTTTTGCTGGGCTTGCGGGCGCTTGCGCGCTCTTGCTGGTGGAAGATGCCTCAAAGGAGTCAACTGCTTCAAGACCCGGACGATCGCAAACCTAGGCCCAAAGCAAATGTGTCTGATCCAAAATTCACAATTTGGTAAAAGACGCCCTGCTTACCCTTAATCCAAACCGGTTGCTCTGGCTGGGCTTGTCGTGGCGCTTGTGGGCGCCCTTGTGGGCTGCTAATGGGCTTGTGGGCCGCTTTTCGTGGGCTTGTGGGTGCTAGTGGGCACATGCGGGCTCTCTCTTGGTCTGCTTCCATGTGGGCGCATGTGGGCGCTTGCTTGTGGGCGGAAGCGCTGCGGGCGCTTGTGGGCGGATGTGATGAGTATGTGGGCGCTTGTGGGCGGATGTGATGAGTGCTTGTGGGCGCTTGTGGGCGCAGGTGCTTTCTTGATGAAGTGTTGTGCTGCGGTCATGAACGCATGCGGGCGGAGGTCTTGGCGGTGTGGGCGGTAGCGTTGCGGGCGCTCCAGTCATGGGTGTATGAGGGCGCATGTGGTTTGCGCCCTTGTGTGGACGCTTTTAGCTGTCATGGACACTTTCAGTCGGCGGCGCGGGTACTGGCACTTGCGGTTGTTTCTGGGCGGCGTTTTTGGGGGTCGCCTTCATGCGCATGTGGGCGCTTGTTGGGCGGCAGTGTTTAATGGGTGTTGTGGGCGCACGTGGGCGCTTGTGGGTGGAAGTGTTGCGTGCGTTCTCCACGAGTGTGCATGTGGGAGCTTGTGGGCGCTCAGCTTACGTTCGGATGTTTAGATGTTGCAGTCATCAGTACAAGAGTGAATCACGTCGGCATGTTCTTGAGACGCGCTGAGCCAGCGTCGACTTTGGGCAGGTTTGGGATCTGGGTGTTTTTTTTGTGTTTTTCCTGTGTTTTCGCGTGGCTTCAAGTTTTTTTCTGGAGGGCAGAAGGCCCCCACAAGCCAAGGCCCCACATGAAGTTTGCTGGCCTCTTGATAAAGGTTCCTTCTGTGGTGTCTGGCAATTCCGCAGCTCTCAAATTGCGAATACCCGTGCGGGCGGATCGCAAGGGATGAGCCAACATAGTCTCCGAGTTCGCGCATTCAGGGCGCGGTCTCGACCGAGTTGATTCGGTTAGTCTCGGATCGATTTGGCCAGGAAATCCCTGGCCCAATGTCTTTCTGACCCCTACATCATGGAGCTCAGGGAGGAGAAAGCGGATCTGCACGAGGGCGAGCCGCTCGAAGAAAAGAAGCATAAGTGAGAGCTTTTGGCACACATACAAATGTACACCCATACATCCTTATTCACAGACCGCACGCATGACTGTATGCATGCACGCACGCATGCATGCACGCACGCACCCACACACACACACACATGCTGTGTTGGAAAGCCTCAGATCAGCAAGCATGATTGTCAGTGGTGCTTGTGAGCAATGGAAGTTGCGGGATGGGCTAGAGCTATCTTCGTGTCACTGTGATCAAGCATTGAGAATGCTCGTAGGCTGCCAACCAGTAGTGCTAGAAGGTTGAAGCGCAATTGAGTGCATTTGCCAAAAACTCCTTACTCTAACTTGTCGTATGTTTTGTGCCCCTGCATCTTTTTTGGAGCCCGAGGGAAGAACCAGGAAGTCTAGCTTCTTCCTTTCCGGGAAATCACCAGCTGGTTTTTGTACAGAAAATGGATGAAAAGAAGGGCGATTCAACCCTTAGAAGCCGACCACACTAGGATTACCTGCTTACCGACATGGTTGAAAAGACTGAGGAATCAAGTCCCCCGAAAGGATACACAGTCGGGCAGTCTGACTTGTAGAGGGCGAATGGGAAACCGCCAATCCAGACCAAAAACCGGGCTCCAAACCACCAAGCCGAGGGAGGCGGAAAAAGAATTCGACGCCACGGCTGAGGAAGGTGGACCGCCAGCACCGGCACCGATTCGAGGACACCTCCAGCAAGGCCGGGCGATGATCAGAGGAAACTGGCTGGGGCGATAGGTAGGGAATGACTGCATAGGTGTCCTGTTTGGTTGATTTGCTTTTAAAAAATAGAGGGCGATTCCTGGTTTACCTGGTGGTTGAAATCAACTACCAGGGCCATCTATTTTCCCAAAAAGGACACCTATGCGAATGACCGTTCTGGGTTTGGGGGGAAGGAACCATTTCGGGATTCCCCGAAAGGAACTTATAGGGGATGGTATGCAGGGGTCATTCCCTCATTCCCTGCGAGCCAGCAAGGCAAATTCAATTTGATGCGCTAGACACTGGGGATCGATCGGATGACCGGAAGAGGAAGAAGCTGAAGTGTTGAAGTGCAAGAAGACCCAGAAATTTGCGCAACAGATGATGGTGGAGGAAGTCGATGAAGAAATGGAAGTCCCACCAGTCGCCGCCTGTTGCCATCGTCGCATCGGGGAAGCAGAAGCTGTGGGTACCCTCCTTCAGGCGATTCCATGGAAGCCACCTTAGTAGCGGGGGATCTGAGGACAGCCCAGTAAAGGAAGACCTGGTTCCATTTGCAGTGGTTAATTGGGGGAGCTTCCATCTTAGTCTCGGGGAGTGCAACTTGGCTCATTCTGCATGTGGCTCTCGAAATCCGTAGCAGTTCTTGCAGTTTCCAGACACTCGGCCGGTCATTTCACTTGCCTGGGTACCCAAGGAACCATCCGGCCAAAAATGGTTGCTGTACTGGTAGTGGCCTCCTGAACCCGTGGTTCTCGAATTCCTTACCCTTCCAGACCATGGAAATGGAACACAAAGGGGGCCTTCTCAACAGATCAAATGTCCAAGAACCACTGGTCCACTTGAATGATTGTCAGAAAGAGGGGTGTCCTTCACCTTTGTTGCTTGACCTTCGTTTTCCAGGCATATACATATATATATATATATGTATAAACATGGCCCTCAATGGAAATGGGTGCACTTGGCAACTCAAAAGACAGACCCACATGAGTATGCAACAGTCTCTATGCAAAGGATAGAAATCAGGAACCCGGATGCGGAGTTTGTCTACAGGGGAGATTGTTGGTCTCCGAGGGTTGCAACCTGCAGACCTTTTGAGGAACCGGCGTGGGGTATTTCCCTTGGGCCACTTGCCCAGTGGATCCCAGTTGCCACTATAATCTGACTGCCTGAGTTCATGAACTTTACACTTTTTGGGAAGACCATTTTAGTGGTAAATATAAAGTTTGGGCTATTTTTGGGCCATCCACTCAGCCGGTGAGTTTAATAGGTAGCCAAGTATTTTCCCTTTTGAGATTCAGCCCTGCGGTCGCCCGGAAGGTTTGCGGGTTCATCTCGAAGGAGAGCCACAGATTGGATGGTTTTCCGTTGGTTTCCCTTTTACCCGGAAAGGGAATCCTCAAAAACACAGAATGCGAAGATCGGATTAAAACTCGCCCCCCCTGAGAAGGTCAGATTCTGGCACTGAAATCATGGGTCCACTTTAGTATTGGGCAATGCTACTGTAGTATTGGGCAATGCTACTTTTGAATTGGGAATGAGGAACTCCAGAAGCATTGCAACAGGAGCTTCGGTCCATGGAGCTTGCTGTTGAGATGTTGATTTGAATATCCATTCGATTTAGTCCTGTGGGAATTGAGTTTCCATGTGATCTGGTATTGCTGGAGCTTCCTTTGATTTTGACTTGAGCTTCCATGGATTTGATTTGGTATTGTGCTGGCTTGGCACTGCTGCATGACTGTGCTGCTACGCGTGCTAGTAAACACTGGCAGCTTTACTGCCGGCTTTACTTGCTTTGGCGTTGCACAGCAAATGGCAAACACTAGAAACAAGTAATTAGAACGCACATCTTTCTGGCCCGAAGGGGACCCACGAAGACCCAACATGGAGACCCACCTTATGGGCACTCTCATGTGACCTTGTCAATCGCTTTTCGAAAAGGGATCTAATGCAGAACTTGCACTTTCAGAACACCACACTTGTTTAGCTTTCAGGGAGTGGCATATGTTTGTGTGGGTAACGCTTCACGGCCGTGCCTCTACAAGTATTAGTACAAGCCGAAAGCAATTTTCCTTGCGCCAAGCAAACGGAAAACAAATGGAACAGCTGCATCACGAGGGGGATTTGACGGGATTTTATTTGGTTTCGAGTTTTCTGTGGACATTTGTTTTCATGAAGTCAAGTTGTTTAGTATTGGGGTGGTGCCACGTGGGACCTGTGTAACATGGGGCAAACAAGTCGTCCTGGGTTGGCTTTCCCATATTTTGATCAGGCGCCGCTCTACAAGGGCACCTTGTGGAAGCTCAACACCGTGGCTCGGCTTCCTTCTAACCTCTCTACTGCAGGACCTAGTCATTTTTGGCTTGGCGGGGGGAAAGGCTCGCTGTGCAACCACAAGGATTGTAGGGGCTGATTTTCTCTCATCCAAAATTGCAGGGCATGGCCAGCCATGCCCCTTTGGTATTTTTGGAGGTGGGCGTGGGGAAGCTGGGGAATGCGAATCCGTGTGTTGCGAGACCTGCTGGCACCAGCGGGGTCCGTCAATGCGTCAAAGTGGAAGAAATGCCCAATGTGACCAGGCTCAATTCGACGGATTTGTTGGAGGCCTTCTTTGAAGCCACAAGCCGTCAGCCTGGGGATTGAACGATTCGCACAGGCGGTGGCCAGGGGAGCGAACTTGAGATTCAGATCCGGCCGCTCCAAATGCGCGTGAATCCTTGAGGCTCCTTCCTCTAAAGGCATCCACGGGACCTGGAAGATCCAACTTCCTCTTCCAAGGACCTTTTATCAGGTGCCTTAGTGGGGAGGGTCAACTGCATCTCCGATTTTCTCCCTGCGAACCCTTCGTTCTCCCAACGCAGACCTTTCCTACTACGTCCACAGACAAAGCTCCGAAGGCAGCGCTTTTCCGCGCTCAGGATGGCAATCCGGGAGACTCTACTCACTGGCTCAAGCGCGACATGTGGGTGGCTTGCGCCACTCGGACGCATGGAATGGTCGAATTGGTGACCGCTTTTTTCTCGTGACGCACTGGACCAGCCGGGTCGGCTCCATGGTGGGAGGCAACCCAAGGTACCCTTCCAACTATCATGGCACCTGGGAGGAACCTGGAAGATTCATTGCCTTTTGAAGGGAGCGGGTCCCTGTCAGTTGCCATAAGTTGGGACTTTGAAGCCTATGGAACATTGAGTTTGAACAAAAAACCCATGAAGCGGCATGGAACCCCCAAAAAAGGTTGGAAACAGTTAGAACCCTGGCCACCGTTCTTGAAGTGAAGTTCCATGTTCCGGGAGCAAACTGGTGTCCCTTTTTTGGGGCCCTTTTTTTATGGCCCCAAAAGGTGAGTCAACACCTTTTGTCATTTCTGGGTCAGAACCTGTGCTGAGCAGAAGTTCTGGGAGCCGCGGAGCCCGTCCGTCGCCCCGTCGCGGAGCCCGTCTCCGTTTCTCAGGACGGGTCCTTGTGCTACTTCAGCATCAAGGAGAACAAGCGCCTGGTCCTGTTGGACGGCATCAAGATGGCCGGCGCCAAGGCGCGGACGGAGAGATTTCGCTGCGCAGCGCCAGCGTTTTTTTTTCCTTGGGGTCAGTCAGTCAACACCTTCGAGTGGAGGGAGGCTCCTTTCGGCTTTTGGAAATAGAAGGGGCTGAATGAGTGCACATGGAAATTTAACATGTTTGTGTGTGTGTGTGTTGTTTTTTTGTCATGAGGGAGCATGGTTGAACAGCACCCCACAACCCCATAGGCGCTTGTAGAAGGTGCATGTCCAGAAAAATACGCAACACGTTGTTTTGGGTGCTGAGGACAGCGCCCCTCTATTGCTTCTGCAAGACGAGGGACCAGCAAAAAAACATCTGTCAACACGACGTCCTTCGAAGCGAGGGAGGCTGCTTTCTGAGGCTTGGGGACATATAAGGGGCTGAATGAGTGCACACATGGTATTATGTGTTTTTTTTGTCACGAGGGACCTCTCTTTCTTCTGCAAGACGAGGGACCAGGCAAAAAAACAGCCGGTCGGGAAGAAGCTTCTCGTGTAGGCACCTTGCAGGCTTGACTGATTTAGTGCATCCGGACTGCGCTACCTCAGAGATGCTCTTTCAAAATTCAGCTTGATTTGGGCAAAGGGATAATTCCGGGCAAATTATGGCGACGTCACTAGAGGGCTATGCTGCACGCTTGCAATGTTTCTCCTCCGGATGTTGGATCTGCGAGGAGTGCATGATGTTGGATCTGGCTTGCGGTGGTTCAAGCCACTGAGCCTTTTTCTTTGTTGCTATGACAAGCCCGCAGTGGCTGCAGGAAGTGCGCAGTGGTCCAGATGTCAGGGTTTTCTGCTCACATCGCTGGCCAGGAAGCAGCGAAAGGTTGGTGAACCATGATAAATAGGATTGGCCCAGACGAATTCTCAAAGAGCGGTGCCAATCTTGGAAGCTCCTTGATGAGCCCAATTCTCAAAGAGCTCATGATACATATGCAATTCTGTCTGTTGACACTGACTCGGTGCTTCTCCCCTTTCTTTGGCAACCTGGCGGTGTATTTGATATATTGTTTTACAGGATTCAGCCAGCTGCTTTGAAAGCGAAAGCAGTCACCTGGGCAGGTGTCGGACGTGCCCAAGTCCGCCCGTGAGTTCGCGTTTAAGCTGGACTGTATCAACAGCGCCCCTCGGCGGGCTAAGTGGTCCTTGCGGAAGTGGGACATGTTTAGGAGATCGGATGGGTGCTGTCTTCCCTCAGTGGTTCATGCAGTTTGTTTACTTGTTTTGTCTAGGTCCCCCAGTAGTGCCCTTCTCTCCCCTTTTTTGGGAGAGGCTTCAAACCTACTAAAATCGTCTACAGAAGAAAAGTGGGTACCCTTGTTCTAACCTCTCTACTGGAGGACCTCGGAGGTTAGCCTCATCATCAAAGAATCTTTTGAGGCCTATGGAGTTGGTCGGGTGATGTGGAAGTGTTGGAGGACCTCGTTGTCGAGCCTCCGTTTTTCCCCCTTCGGCTCAGGATGACCACGAGAAGGACATCTCCATGAGCTTTTGCGCGGAGTCCGAGGCGGAGTACCAGCGCCTCAGCGCCGAAAAACGGACTCATTTCGGACTTGCTAAACGACCGAGAGGCCAAGGGAGCTACTCGGCGGAGCCCGATTCCTCCTGCCTTGCAAGCAAGCCAACTCAGCCACAAAACCGTGGTAAATAGCACGGTAGGGGGTTTGTCTGTTCCCCTTGCAATATTTAGGGCATCGATTGTGGGAACCCAACACTAAGAAGCGCTCTTGGTTGATTTTGATTGGGGGGGCGCAGCCCATTTCAGAAGCATCCCTGAGTGCAGCAGGTTGATGGTTACTTTTGCCATGCAGATTCATGTACTGTGATTGTTAGCTAATGACTATTAAAGCTGGCTACTAGTGACTACTTTAAGCACCATCAAGCAGTATTTGGGGCATCCACTGTGCCTTACTTTTCTCTTACAGAGTTGGCACGGTTCAGAAGCTGGCGGGATGGTTGGGCGCAGCTGGCCTATGCCGCATATGCCCAACGGGTCCCGTTCACTTTGACGGGCCCGACCGGTGGTTTGGAGATGGAGGTGGGAAATCCCGGGAAAAAAAACCCGCTACAAATGCCAGGCGTTCAGATCTAACCACCAATCCAAAGCGCTAATTGTGGGCCTGGGTTTAGAGGCTTTGTCTGAAACCGCACAAAGCTAACACGTGCTGTGTGACGAACTGTGCTGGGGATCGCAGCTTGTCTAACACTTCTGCAGAGAGTCTAAGCTTGCAACAGTAGAATGACAAGCCAGTACCAGGATCATTTGATGCTCAGCTTTTGGACGACCCCGATAAAGCATAGCATTTGGTCGTTGTCGAGCTGGCAGGATCCTGGCATTGTTGGCTTGGGGGCTGGTTTGGAGTCATTTACGCCAAAGCAGGCAGCAGTGCGAGCCCACTTGGGTGGCTGGTAACCATTCGTCACCCGCAGAACGGGGTTATAACCTTTCTAAGCACCATGGGTTTGGTGGGTTTGGTTTGGTTGCTAGCCATGCCCCTGGGCGGGTCATGATCACGTGGGCAAACCCAGGTGGGTTTGGTTGGGGTGGGTTTGGTTTTGGTTGCTGGCCACTCACTCCGTTTCACGCGTGATTTTGGAGCTGCCGTCCCCCCCTTCCCCGGAACCGCTCTTTCCCCCTGACATTCCACTCGAATGCTAAGAGCCTTTTAGATCCCTTTAGTGTGTGGTAGTTTCCGAATTTAACCCACTAAAAGCTAGTCACTTTTAGCGGGGGATCAGAAAACGGGCAGCCCAGCCTTTTGGTTGCTGGCCACTTCGGTCCCGGCGTTTGGCCTTAGGAAGTGGCGGTCCCTGCTGTCGCAAGCCACCAACCTGGACGGGGCCATGCAGACCATCCGCCTGGGCGGCGCGGTGGCGGATGAGCTGAAACAGTTCAGGTGCCTTGTTTTTGTTTTGGGGGAGGGGAGGGGAGGGGAGGGGGGGGTTTGGGGGGTTGGGGGGATTTGGGGGTGTTGTTTCTTTCTCACAGCAGGGCGCCCTGCACTTTTGTTCGACCCTGTCCAATCACATTTGGATGACTGTTTTTTGTGTTTTTTCCCCAAAAGCTGAAAGCTAAGGGGTCTCAGCCTAGATAAGGTTTGGGGGTGGCTTGGGGGAGCTCTGGAGTCAGGTTCGAGCAAGGTTCCGGAGGTCCGGGGTAGTCTGGTGCAGGCCAGGTGTAAGGTGCAAGGAAGGTTCCGGAGGTTCCGGGTTGGCCTGGTGCAGGCCAGGTGTAAGGTTCGAGGCAGGTTCCGGAGATTCCGGGGTGGTCTGGCGCAGGCCAGGTGTAAGGTTCAAGGAAGGTTCCGAAGGTTGTGGAGGTTGCGGGGTGGTCTGGTGCAGGCCAGGTGTAAGGTTCAAGGAAGGTTCCGGAGGTTTTGGGGTGGTCTGGTGCAGGCCAGGTGTAAGGTTCAAGGAAGGTTCCGGAGGTTCCGGGTTGGGCCAGGTATGAAGGTTCCGGAGGTTCAAAGAAGGTTCTGGAGGTTGCGGGGTGGTCGTGCAGGCCAGGTGGTGTAAGGTTCAAGGAAGGTTCCGGAGGTTTTGGGGTGGTTTGGTGCCAGGTGTAAGGCTCAAGGAAGGTTCCGGAGGTTCCGGTGGTGCAGGCCAGGAAAGGTTCAGGCCAGGTATGGTTCAAGGAAGGTTGTGGAGGTTGCGGGGTGGTCTGGTGCAGGCCAGGTGTATGGTTCAAGGAGTTCCGGATTTGGTGCAGGCCAGGAACCGGAGCTTCCGGGTTGGCCTGGTGCAGGCCAGGTCTAGTTCAAGGAAGGTTGTGGAGGTTCAAGGAAGGTTCGAGAAATTTTGGGGTGGTCTGAAGTATTTGTAAGGCTCACGATATGGTTCAAGGAAGGTTGCAGGTTGCGGGGTGGTCTGGTGCAGGTTCAAAGAAGGTTCCAGAGGTTTGGCATGTAAGGTTCAAGGAAGGTTCCGGAGGTTCCGGTATGGTTCAAGGAAGGTTGCAGGTGCGGAGGTTTTGGGGTGGTCTGGCGCAGGTGGAAGGTTCAAGGAAGGTTCCTGACCAGGCAAGGTTGTGGAGGTCGCGGAATGGTCTGGTGCCGGCCAGGTGTAAGGTTGAAGGAAGGTTCCGGCCAGGTGTAAGGTTCAAGGAATGAAGGTTCTGCAGATTTTAGGGTGGTCTGGTGCAGGCCAGGTGTAAGGTTCAAGGAAGGTTCCGGTCTGGTGCAGGCCAGGTGTAAAAGGTTGCGGAGGTTCCGGTTGGCCTGGTGCAGGTGAGGTGCAAAGTTCAAGGAAGGTTTCGGAGGTTTTGGGGTGGTCTGGCGCAGGCCAGGTTCAAGGAAGGTTCCGGAGGTTTTGGGGTGGTCTGGCGCAGGCCAGCTGTAAGGTTCAAGGAAGGTTCCGGAGGTTCCGGACGTTTTGGGGCGCAGGTGTAAGGTTTGAGAGGTTCGGGGTGGTCTGGCGCAGGCCAGATAAAAGGGGTTCCGGAGGTTCCGGGTGGTCTGGTGCAGGCCAGGTGTAAGGTTCAAGGAAGGTTCCGGAGGTTTTGGGGTGGTCTGGTGAGGCTCAAGGCAGGCCAGGTGAGGAAGGTTCCGCAGGCCAGGTGTATGGGGTGGTCTGGCGCAGGCCAGCTGTAAGGTTCAAGGAAGGTTCCGGAGGCTGGTTCAAGGAAGGTTCCGGACGTTTTGGGGCGCAGGTGTAAGGTTTGGGGTGGTCTGGCGCAGGCCAGATAAAAGGGGTTCCGGAGGTTTTGGGGTGCAAGGAAGGTTCCGGAAGTTTTGGGGTGGTCTGGTGCAGGCCAGGTGTAAAGGAGGTTCCGGGTTGGCCTGGTGCAGGCCAGGTATGGCTCAAGGAAGGTTAGGTTCAAGGAAGGTTCCGGAGGTTTTGGGGTGGTCTGGTGCAGGCAGGGTGGAGCTGTTGGGGATATCACCTGAGCTTATTTTAGGGGCCGAAAGGGTGGTTCAGCTAGTTGCCACCCATTTGTTCCAAATTCTTTTTGACAAAGCCGGAACCTGCCCCAAGCCCCACTGGTTGTCCCGATTCTTTCCAACCAAAAGCTGCTGGATCCATCCGCTCAATCCTGGGGATCGGCCCAAGCGGTTCGAGTTCGCAGGCTGGCGGTGAAGAATCGCCGGATGAAGGTGGGCGAAGACACCAAGGCGGGGAACGGTCGACTCGGTCGACGGCCCATGGAGTGCCGCAGGCCCGCAGGCATCCAAATGCAGAGATAAAGCACATGTTTGTGCGAACATATCTTCGCCCCGAACCCAACGGCCTCTTAAGAGGGCATTCAAATTGAGAGCCACTGGTGGTAGATGCATTGGGAGTGAGCTCCAATACCCACCTTCGGATGAACATGGAAGACCAAAAACCCAGTGGTCAGTTGTTCAATGGCACCCTGAAAGCCCCTATTTGTTTGGTGGCTTCACCAAAGAAGGTCAACCCAAGACATGCTTCGGTCTGCACAAGCAAGCCTTATCAGGGCCAGGATCACCTGAAATTCCATCGACCCAGTTTCGGTTTCTGAAGCGCGTGCCGTTCAACCAAAGCCCAACTTTCAGCAGGCTTTTGCCTGGGCGTGGGATAACTCGATGGCAGTCGATGGCAGGTATTGCTCAGGCAGTGCCTGAGGTCAGCATTGGCCATGTTAGTGAGTTCTACCGAAGTTCTACCTGACTACCTGCTTCCAGGATCATAGCGATGCACTTTGCCAGGTGGAGCCACAAAGCCAGTACCTTAGGAGCCCATGACTCTAAATATGAGGAGCTGGACCCCCCAAATGAGCCATAATCAAAACCCGGGTAGATGAAGGTTAGTTAGGGACAATCCCAGCCATAAAAGAAGCGGTGCGGAAACACGCCTTCTTAATTTTTTGAAGCATGGTTCTGGGATTACAATTTTAATACTGGGTGATTGATTCTTACTATGATGTCTTGGTCCTCTTCGATGGGAGCCGTCACTAGGACCAGTTCGCGCCGATCTTCAAGGCAAAGCTTTGGAAGGTCAAAGCCGAAGGCGCGCCAGCCGTGCCAGCCGCGCGCTGGAGCTGTTGTGTTGGGAGGTGTGACAGTGGATAGCAGAGTTGTCGAGGTGTTTCGGCTCAGTCCCTTTACTGCAGACTAGGTCCCCCAGTGGTGCCTTTTGGCCCCTTTTTTTGGGGACGGTTCCCCTACTAAAATAGACTTCAGAACAAGGGTACCCTTATTATTCTAACCTGTCTACTGGAGGACCTAGTCAAGGTGTTTCGCTTTAGTCCCCTTTTCTTGCAGAGTATAAGACCCACGCGACAAGCTATGTTTGGGCATGCTTTCCACTCTGATCCCAGGGATCCGAATGGACAGCTCAAACGAAATCCAAGAAGGTGAACGACGGAATGCTGACCACTGGACTGTGCATCTCTCCACCGAACCCAAACGACGGGACCGCAACAAAGGGACTCTTCCTATCTTCCCAGCATGTGGGTACTTGCACAAGTCGAACAAGTAGGGTCAGATCACTTTTTGGCCAGTTGTGTGTTTGTTTAAATTGAATATATACATTATACGTATAAAATATATACATTATACATATATATATATATGTAGATGGATTCCGCCGGTTTCGCAGCCATTTGCCAAGCTCAAAGCTGTGCCGTTTGCCTTGCCAAATCCGGACATGCCGTCGGTCCTGCGCGTGGTCTTCCTGGCGCTGGCCTCGGTTTGGCTCACCTCGGCCGTGCGCAGGGAGGTGAAGCACCACCAGGCGAGTCGAATCGGGAATGGGATCTAGGAGCTTCCTGGATCGCCAGTTGCGATCGTTTTGTTTCTTTTTCCATGCACTTTACCCCCAAAACCGATCGCAACAGTGACTGAAAAAAGCGATCGCAACTTGGCTATCTAGGTTGTCTTCCCAGCGAATCGTTTGGTTGCTTCGGTTTTTTGTGGCTTTTAAGTGCTTTTTTAGTTGGTGTGGTTGGGTTTCCATGTAATCCACAAGTTGAAAACTTAGCAGGGGATCTGGTGCATGACGCCCATGTCCAAACGGAGATAGCTAAGATCCCATTGTTTGTAGGTTTTGAGTGCTTTGTCTATGAGTCTGGGCAACAGTGACCTCGGCGACAGGCGATTGGTGTCATTTTACTGCTCCTGCTGCAATCCTCACGAGGGTCGCTGCTTTGTGACAGTTCTGTCTGTCGTTAGTTGAAGAGGAGGTCGGGCATGGCTAAGCCCTGAGTGACGTTTTTCAAGTTTCCACTGAATTCGCGGAAACATTGGTTCAATCCTGGATCGCCAGTTGCTGTTTGCTTCCATGCACTTTACGGCAACAGTGACTGAACAAAGCAGCAACTTGGCCATTTGGAATGCGGGTTGAGTCTACCAACAGGAAGTTGTTGACACGCTCGTCGATGCGCACGCCAAAGAGGACAGACCACCCCGTCAACTGCCTCCATGTTAGGCAAGGTGCACCTTGGAGTCTGGGGTGCGCGAGCCAATTTGTTGAAATGCCTCCTGCCCTTTCAGGAAGTGAAGCCATTTCCGGAAGCACATTTGGATGAGTTTTGGCAATGTTTGACCCTCGAGCGCCACCAATAGTGACAGACTCCAACATCAGTTTGTCATTTTTCCAGCAACACTAGCCGCTCGCCCGCCGCTTGGAAGTTGTGCCCAGAGCGTGTGCTGTTATTGCCGCCACCAGTGCAGCCGACCAGTAACTCAAAATCACGGTTCCGCATTTTCAACTGGTGGTGGGATGCCTGAATTTTCACCCCCGCAGCCTTTGGAAGTTAGCAGTCACCAGGGTCGCTGGTTTTGACAGCCGTTTGTCATTGTGTCGTTCTCAAACCGCTTTTGGGTGGATCAGGGAATCATACGAACTCGGCCCATTTAGGGTCGAGTCTACCGACAGGACATTGTCGACACGCTCGCCGATACAGAGCACGCCAAAGAGGACAGAACTTCAATTGTCGTTGTGGGACAACCTACGTTGGATGAAAGCAGCTGTCACGATTCCTCATGTTTGGTTTATATAGCCATCCTACTTTCCCAATTGTGCCATCTACTTTCACCCTGGTCGGTGCACCAAACTTTCGTTATATGCGCTTTGCAGGATAATGTGAATGCAGCCGCACTGGGGTAAAAGCTGATTTGTTGAATACAGAAGTTATGAACGCCATTTCCAGAGCCAGTTCTGCACAAATTGCAGCGAGCTCAGCTGGGGATCAAAGGAGAGCACTCTGCTTGCCATCGAGGGATTGGGTTCCTTATTTGCAGTTGGTCAACTCTAGAATCAACAGAGAACTCAACAAAGCGCAGGCCAGCTTTGTCACTGTCCTGGGCTGGCCATGAGATACAATTGGGGCATGGTTAGTGGTTTTCTGTCATACGACTAGATCTGGTTTTAGCGTATTTTCCAGATTTGTTTTTTTGGGGTACCCCAAACCCCCCAATTGTAGTCACTTAGCCCCATGAAGCAATCACCTTCCGCCAGGAGTCCACGCCCGAGTGGGGCTTCGGCGGCGGAAGCATCTCGTGCGGCAGTTCGAGTGACTGCAAGAGCATTGGCCCAACCTGCTTCTGCAGCAGCCGGAAGTGCCACTGCTAGATCCCGGACGCGTCGCCGCGTCGCCAGGTTTGCGATTCGATTGTGACCAACTCCAGAAGCTTGAGATACCTTGGTCCCCAAGGCAGTTTCCGTTAAGATCTTCTAGCGATCCGTTGGTCACCAGCCACACGAGCTGTCAGCCACACAAGCTGAATTGGCTGTGGCTCCAAGTCAGCTCGAGATTGTGCCTGGCAAAAGGACACGCCGCGGCCGGGTTCTTGGGCTGCAGCTGACCCTATTACGGGGTTCTTTGGTTTTGAACATTTTGAGGGTTTCTCAAAACTACTTCTGGGGGTGGTTTCTCTGTAAACTTTAGAGCCTCCGGCTCAGTCCGCCGACATTGTCCTCTCCCTTTTCTCCTTCTTCCTCTCTTCCTTGTCTCCCTTGTGTGTTCTGTCGTCCTCTCTCCCTCCCTCTGCTCCCATCCTCCCCATCCCCCCAAGCCTCTCTCTCCCCACTCTCCCTCTCTCGTATGTATGCATGCATGTACATATGTATGTATGTATGTATGTATGTATGTAATGTATGTATGTATGTATGTATGTATGTATGTAATGTAATGTAATGTATGTATGTAATGTATGTATGTAATGTAATGTAATGTATGTATGTATGTATGTAATGTATGTATGTAATGTAATGTATGTATGTATGTATGTATGTATGTATGTATGTATGTATGTATGTATGTATGTATGTATGTATGTATGTATGTATGTATGTATGTATGTATGTATGTATATGTATGTATGTATGTATGTATGTATGTATGTATGTGTATGTATGTATGTATGTATGTATGTATGTATGTATGTATGTATGTATGTATGTATGTATGTATGTATGTATATGTATGTATGTATGTATGTATGTATGTATGTATGTATGTATGTATGTATGTATGTATGTATGTATGTATGTATGTATGTATGTATGTATGTATGTATGTATGTATGTATGTATGTATGTATGTATGTATGTATGTATGTATGTATGTATGTATGTATGTATGTATGTATGTATGTATGTATGTATGTATGTATGTATGTATGTATGTATGTATGTATGTATGTATGTATGTATGTATGTATGTATGTATGTATGTATGTATGTATGTATGTATGTATGTATGTATGTATGTATGTATGTATGTATGTATGTATGTATGTATGTATGTATGTATGTATGTATGTATGTATGTATGTATGTATGTATGTATGTATGTATGTATGTATGTATGTATGTATGTATGTATGTATGTATGTATGTATGTATGTATGTATGTATGTATGTATGTATGTATGTATGTATGTATGTGTATGTATGTATGTGTATGTATGTATGTATGTATGTATGTATGTATGTATGTATGTATGTATGTATGTATGTATGTATGTATGTATGTATGTATGTATGTATGTATGTATGTGTATGTATGTATGTATGTATGTATGTATGTATGTATGTATGTATGTATGTATGTATGTATGTATGTATGTATGTATGTATGTATGTATGTATGTATGTATGTAATGTATGTATGTATGTATGTATGTATGTATGTATGTATGTATGTATGTATGTATGTATGTATGTATGTATGTATGTATGTATGTAATGTGTGTATGTATGTATGTATGTATGTATGTATATGTAATGTAATGTAATGTAATGTAATGTATGTATGTATGTATGTATGTATGTATGTAATGTGTATGTATGTATGTATGTATGTATGTAATGTATGTATGTAATGTATGTATGTATGTATGTAATGTATGTATGTATGTATGTATGTATGTATGTATGTATGTATGTATGTATGTATGTATGTATGTGTATGTATGTATGTATGTATGTATATGTATGTATGTATGTATGTATGTATGTATGTATGTATGTATGTATGTATGTATGTATGTAATGTATGTATGTATGTATGTATGTATGTATGTATGTATGTATGTATGTATGTATGTATGTATGTATGTATGTATGTGTGTGTGTGTATGTATGTAATGTAATGTAATGTAATGTAATGTAATGTAATGTAATGTAATGTAATGTAATGTAATGTAATGTATGTATGTAATGTATGTATGTATGTATGTATGTATGTATGTATGTATGTATGTATGTATGTATGTATGTATGTATGTATGTATGTATGTATGTATGCAAGTAAGTAAGCAAGTAAGTAAGTAAGTATGTATGTATGTATGCATATGTATGTATGTATGTGTGTACGTATGTATGTAATGTATGTATGTATGTATGTAATGTATGTATGTATGTATGTACGTATGTTGTATGCATATGTGTATGTATGTATGTATGTATGTATGTATGTATGTATGTATGTATGTATGTATGTATGTATGTATGTATGTGTGTGTGTGTATGTATGTATGTATGTATGTATGTATGTATGTATG